AAACTAGGCCCGGAACGTGAGGCTCCTGAAGTCCAGGCCTCTCCTTTACATCCTTCCGCTGGCCCCTGTCCACTTTCCTCCAGTGGCACCCTTTTCTCCGGACATAGCTCCCGCCAGCACGGCCGGCCCTGTGACGTCAGCAGCTCACGGCTCCCTGGTGTCTGGAGCCACTGGCCTGTGTGTCTGGTGTGGCTGCCAGGAGCTGGTTCTGTTCACTCACTGAGCCTATTCACTTGCCCTGGCTGCGGCCCCAGGAGGCTCAGAGGCATTGTCCCCTCTCAGGCTGACAGTGGTCCTAAACAAAGTCCTCAAGGAGCGGAGGAAGGAGGGAGTGGCTTCTCAGAAGAACAAAACGGGGGAACCCGCCTGTCCTTCTTGGGGATGTTGCCACAGCCCAATCCTGTCTGGGCCCATCAGAAAGTCGCCTTAACTGGGGGCAGATCTGTTTCATCCTCCAGAATCCAGGCCCAGCCTGCCCGCTGTTTCAAGTGGAGCCTTCCCACCCCTGCGGCCCCGGGGCTGTCTCCTGTCCTCCGAGCTCCCCCTGCTTTGGTATTACAGGCATCTGACTGTCAGTGCTCACCTCGGGGTACATCTGCTGTGGTTTGGGGGTTTGCCCCGTTTCCTGCAGCCAGATTGAACGGTGGACGTCTTGTCTGCTTCACCTGAACTTGGCCCATAGCAGCCAGCTGATCAGACACAGGGTTCTCCAGAAAGACAGTTTGGCAGTTTGCCTGATGATTAAGAAAGAAATTGGTCTATTTAAAAGTAATGGGGGGTTGCATCAGCATTGCCCCATTTTTCTCTTTATTTATGAATTGTGACACCACTATTCCGAACATTCAGTCCCTAAGAACCAGCCAGGAATTCCAGCAGCTCTGAGCGTCCCCCACACGACGACCACTGGGCTACATCCTAAAAACTGTCCTGAGAGGGACAGCCTCTCGCAGAGAGAAGTTGAAGTGGGGAGAGTTGGGGGGTGGAGGGCATGTGCTGTGGACGGCAGTGGCTCCCGAAGAGCCAGCCCTGCCCTCCGGCCAGTGGGAGCTGGCGGGCCGCTGGGATCGGGGCAGGAGGTGTTTACACATGGTGTTACCAGCCTTGTGCCTCAGCAGAACAGTAGCTGAGAAAAGTAATTGTCTGAATAATTTCTGATAGTACATCATTCGTATGGTATAAAAGACTGAAAAACTGAAA